CGAGCACGGCGGTCACAGAGACGACGGCCGATGTCGACCGTTCACGAGAAGACAAGGAGGTGAGTCGGTGCGCCCCGCCAAATACTCTCCTCGCACTAAAAATATCGAGCAGCGGTTGTGAGCTGTACTCTCCGACCGACTATTCTCTCCTTCTCTATCCGTTTCTCGTTCTAAACTGTTCGTCGTTCCCTTGTCCTCTTCCTAATCCGTTTCTCTTTTTCGTTCTTTCCCTCCTCTTCTTATCCCGAATCTATTTCTTCTCTTACTCGCTTTAAACCATTTCAATTTATTCTCTTCATCTTCTCTCTTTTGCTCTCTGTTACAAATCTATTTTTCTTTCCTTTTTTTATCCGAAATCGAATATTTCTTTTTGTTTCTTATTCTAAACTGTTCGTTCTTCTTTTTTTTTATTTTCTATTTTCTTAATCTATTCCTTTTGTTTTTTTATCTGTTTATTTTTTTAAAGTGTTCGTTTCGTATCCGTTCGTTCTCTCGTATTCTTCGTCTCTTCTTCTCTTTTCTTTCTTTTGCATGTGAAATCGAATACTTCTTTCTCTTTCTCGCTCTAAATTCTTCGACTCTCGCCTTTTTCGTCTTTTTTTTCTTCTCTTCTTTCTTCTAGATCTATTTCCTTTTCTTTTCAACCGAAATCGAATATTTCTTTAAACTCCGTCTTGATCTTTTCATATATCTATTCTTTCTTCTCTCTCTCTCCCTCTCTCTCTCTAGTTCGAAAACGATTTTCTTTTCTCTCTATTCAATTATTCTTTCCTCCTTTTTTCCTTAATTTTTTGCTCTCTTTTCTTTCAAATTTATACTTCTTCTTACTTAATAAAAAGACCAAGAAATTAAAAAAAGAAGAGCACACGAGAAAAAATGAAGATTAGTATATATTCAAAGGAGTAAAGAAAAATACGAATTTATTATGTAAATTAGGCCCTAATTATTCGAAATAGCGAAATTCGACTTTTTTTTTTAGGAGGAATAAGAGAGATCTTGGCAACGCGAGAGCTTCCTAGTGCACGACGAGGTCATCGTTTACGATGGATCATCGTCACCGATGGGCATTTTCGCGAACATGGTGTATGCACACACGTGCGTAAGACGATTCTCTTCATTCCTCTTCTGTTTTATCTTCTGTCTTTCTGGCACGCACCTTGACACATATAGAAATTACGAAATCGGGGGAGGAGCGCGATTCGAACGGGAGCAAGAGAAGAGGTTTCGTGGCACGATGAACGATTAAATTTTGATCTACAGCGATATGACGGAGATATAATACGTATCGTGTGTAATTAGAACGGGCGACGCGATTTCAAGCGTGCAATGCTTCTTTGCAAGATCATTGCACCATTGAAAGGATTGTAAGGTTTGGGCGAAGCGACTGCAGATTTTTATGCAAAATTAAATTTTTATGAATATATCTAAAGAAATAAAATATTTTTGGCAAAATTTTTTAAAATTTTATGCTAAATAAAAATATATTAGGTATATAAGAATATAAAAATTAAGTAAGAAATTTATTGTTCAAATATTATATATATTTTAAATATATATATTTTTTATTTTTTTTATATCATATGCATTTTTGTAGGTTCTTATTTTATTCAAATTTTGTATAAATACATCAACTAATTGTAATCTATAATTAGATTTGATAATGATTTGATATAAGTAGATTGGATACTTATCCATTTATGAAAAATTTGCAAAAATGTATTGTGAATATAATGTATATAATGAAAATATATATAAGGTGATAATATATTCGTGAGATATCTTTGAAAGCTCGATTCTAAAGAATAAAATAAATTGATTTTAATATATCAATATATAAAATATAATCTTCTCCTTATTAGAGCGAGTATCATATAAAATCATTTCAAGTTTTAAACAAACAAGTTTTAAGAAATATTTAAATAGTAATTTATCTAAAAAAAAATATCGTCTAAAGTGTTTTTCTATCTTACAATATAAAAAAATATAATAAGTAATTTAAATTTACGTTAAATAAAACGAAATGGAGATAAAATAATTTCATTTTATCTATATTTTTTTTTATTTAATGCAAACATAAATTCCTTATAACTTAATATATAAACTTTAATCGATATTTTTGTATATCAACTTCTATATTCATTTTGATCTCTAGAATCAACTCTTCAAAAGTCAACAATTTATATTAACGCTCTCTGTAAAATATAAAACAAAATTCTCGTTATAATATTTATAGAATGAAATAAATTTCCATTTAAATTATGTTCATAAAAATACAAATATGCATAAACATCTGCCATAATAATAATTTGTTGGAATTATCACTAGCATTTAAATCTTTGTGACTTGATATTTTATTTGATTCATTCTATAGTGATATAGTGATATTCTTGATATTTCTGAATTTACATTTATAATATTTATAGTTTTTATTTTTTTGAAAAAAAATTATATGAT